AAAGAAAGAAAGAAAGAAAACAGGACAAAGATGGAAAGAGAGCTGAGAGGAGGAGATACCTTAGGGAAAGAAGCATTCGAAATTCTGGTGTCTTGGGTTCCCCTAGGCCTCCTCTCTCAATATGCACTGTTTACTGTTTTCTCTCAACATGTATAGACACAAGAAAACACTGTGATATGGCCCCTAGCCTATACTCACCCTTGTTCAGGACCATCCTTTAGGAGATTGATCACCTGCCGAGGGTTTAGTATATATTGGAATTTCCAAAGGACCCTGTGTGAGTAAAAAAAGGCAAGCTTCATGTTTTCCTCAAGGTGATCCAACTAGATACACATATTCCTTTTCTCCCTCCAAGCTCTGCCCTCCCTCTACATCTAGAAAGACCAAATGTTTTTTTTTTTTTAATACTTATTTTTTAGTTTTAAGTGGACACAATACCTTTATTTATATTTATGTGGTGCTGAGGATTGAACCAGTGCCTCATGCATGCTAGGCGAGCCCTCTACCACTGAGCCACAACCCCAGCCCCCCTAATTTCTTTTTCCTCACCTCAGTCCCTGCTTTCCACCACTCTTGGGATTGACAAAGACTAGAAGTGGGTGGGTGTTAGAAACAGGGTTGATCTGCAGTTGGGGAAGAAAATAAGAATAAAGAAAGTAGGATTTTGTCAGTGTTAAAGTGGGTCCTGGAGACAGGGGCAGAGGACTGGCATTTCCCAAATGTTTTCCCCCTCCTTTATGTTCTCCTCTCCTCTCCTACCAGATGGAGCCTCTAGAAATCAGGCAGCACTTCCCAAGGATTTCCCACGTGAGTCCCTCCCATGTCAGCTCCAGCCAAAAACTGACCCCACCATGAAGCCCAAGACCTCAGCCCTGTACCCGTAGAGCTTCAGAGATGCACAAATTTGAGTCATCCGTGGTCTTTTGGCTTGTTTTGCTGTGTTTGCGTTCCTGTTCAGATGCCTGGGAGGGGAGCAAAGCAGAGGGAAGGAGAGCTGGATTGTGTATAAATCCCTAAACAGATGGGCCTGATTTGAATCCTAGAAGTATAGGGTCTCCTGTTCTAAGTGGCATTCTATGTGTCTCACCAGGACGCTGGGATAGATGGAAGATGGAGGCAGGATGTGATCCCGGAGCAGCCCACAGTCACACTCAGAGCCCACGGCTTGCAGGCAGTCATCATGAATCTGAAAGCAAGATGGGCATACAGGATCATGCAAGGGACTCTACCACCTTTCAACTTGGGTCTGGATTGGAAAGACAGCCCTTGGGAGGGAGGACAACTACAGCTGTAAAGGAGGTGGGACTGAGGAGGCCTGTGGAGAGAGGGCCCCTTGAGGAGAGACCAGAAGGCATAGGCTGGAGGGAGAGCTCTCACACCTCTAGGTGGCACCATACGCAATGCAGCCCGGTTAGACTGTGGTAGGTCCGGATCTTTTTCTGACAGCGGTCACAGCGCCCGGACTCACAGCCTCCTCGCACCCACACGTGTGATTGAACCTTAGGGAGAAAGACAGTTCCTAGTCTGCAGAGACTGGGGGAGGGAGAAGCTGAGGGGAAACAACAAACTAAGGACCGGGGCCAAGATGGCAATATGGAGAGTGGGAGAAGCTTCGAGGGATCACTCACACCAATGTCTTTCCGAGACTTGGCATAGGTGCTGACTTCACAAGGCAGGGCCTTCATGGCACACTGGTCGTGAACAGTGTATTTACAGACTGGGGGAAAGGGAAAAAGGTCAGAGCCTGAGCTGCAGTCCTTTCCCACATCTGTTCCTTACTTGGGAGAAAGGATCACCCTCTGGAACAAGACATCAAATTCCTTGCTTTCAAGGGTGTAGCAGATAATTAATTTTTTGGGGGGGGGATTCACCTCCAAAAACTGTGACTTCTTCTCATTCCTCCTCCTAAAAAAGCAACTACCACCCTAAGCCTGTCTCCACACCATCCATGGGCCAGCTGGAATTAGGCTGGATGATCTAAGGAAGGCCCAGAATTTATCAATAATAACTAATATTTATTTATTTCTTGGTATTATGGATTAAGCCCAGGGGAGGTCTATACCTACCTACATCCCCAAACCCTTTTTAAATTTTGTTTTGAGACAGGATCTCACTAAATTATTGCTTGGATGGCCTTGAATTTGCAATTCTACAGCCTCAGCATCCCTGGTTGCTGGGATTACAGGCATGTGTACTAAACCCAGCCAATAACTACTTTTTGTATGTGTGGTGGGGGAGGGTGCCATGGATTGAATCCAAAGGGGCTTAATCACTGAGCCACATCCAAAACCTGTTTTGCTAAGTTGCTTAGAGTCTCACTAAATTGCTGAGGCTGGCTTTGAACATGTTATCCTCCTGCTTCAGCCTTCTGAGCCATTGGAATTACAGGCATTCACCACTGTGCCTGGCTAACTACTTTTTATTGCATTTTATAGTATGTGATTACAATGTGTGAAGCACTTTTCTTTTTATTTCTTTTTTTTCTTTTTTTGCAGTACTGGGGATTGAACTCATGAGTACTCTACCACTGAGCTACATCCCAGCCCTTTTTATTTTTTATTTTAAGATAGGGCTTGCTAAATTGCTGAAGCTGCCCTTGAAATTGTGATCCTCTTGCTTCAGCCTATTGAATAACTGGGATTACAGGTGTACACCACCATGCTTGGCTGTGAAGCACATTTTTTTTTTTTTGGTATCAAACTATTTAATGCTCACAATGACTTCATTTTCAGTAGAGGAAACTAAAGCTTAAAAAAGATGCATGAGACAGTGGGTATGATCCCCAGCACTACAAAACAACAAGTTATGTGGCTTTCCCAAGATCACATAACTAGTTAGTAGCACAACCTAGTATTCAAACCCATGTCTTAGTTCAGAGTGTCATGCTCCTGCAGATATTGGGCTCCCATCTTCTCCCACACTCCCAGGTCCCATTACTTACGGTTACAGCTCAGCCCCTGTTTGCCAAGACCAATGCTCAACTCGCACAGGTTGCAGTAGACTGGTCTGGGAAATCTCTTGGGTCTCCACATGTGCTGCCCATCATCCTTCAGAGTCTGGGAGGGCACAGAGGATGCTAAGGAGTGTCTAAGCCCTTAGCAGGCTAATCTCTGACAATAGAAGCCACCCTAACAAGCTTCTTCTACTCACCATCTCCAGCCCCAGCAGTACTAGCAGCGGCACCGTAGTGGCCCCAGCTCGGACCCACTCAGCTAGGGAGACAGAGCCACTGCCATCATAGTCAATCTCTTTCATCATCTCCTGAAAAATCTGAACAGAGTGGGAAGGGACTTGGGTAGATATGCCCCTCAGAGACCTCTCCACTGTCTCCTGGGATACCCAGCACAACCCTCCTAGCTGAGGGAACAAGGTGGCCTATCAGAGACAGGGTAAGGCAGACGTAGGATCACCAAAGAAGAAGGCATAATAAAGAACAGGGAGGAAGAACTGCCTTACCGGCCTCAGCTCTGACACATCCCAATCCAGATATTCAGCCACTCGTGTCATCTGGAGTATGATTCTTTCCACTTCCTGGGGCAAAGAGGAAAAGAGCCACAGCCATACCCCCATTGCTACTGCCACACTAAACTCTTCTCCAGAAACCAGGGTTTCTGAGCTCCATTCCCAGACCTCTCTCTCATTCTTAGGTGCTTCTGCCAAGTAAATAAATGTGTTTGTATATTTGCAAATCAGCTTCCAGTTCATGTCTCCAGGCTTCTCTTTCAGGGGTCAAGAGCTTAGGACCTACTCCCAAATTTAGTCCCTAGAGGATTCAATGTCTTCTAGCCTTCTCTCTCTCTCTTTTTTTCTTTTCTTTTTTTTTTTTTTTTTTTTTTTTTAGTGCTGAGGATTGAACCCAGGACCTAGAATGTACTAGGCAAGTACTCTACCACTGAGCTACATTCTCAGCCCCTTCTCTGCTTTTTACCCTGGGGCAGGAAAGCACAGACAAGTGGAAGCACACTCCCTTGCCCAACATACAGGTCCCACAACTCACTGAGCTGTCCAGGATCCCATTTCCGTCCGTGTCATACAGCTTGAAGGTGACTGTGGGGTGTTTTAGGGAGGCTGGGGTCAGTTTGTGAGAGATAACTAAATAATCACACCAGAATACAGGGGAAACAGAGATAGGGAAAAAACTTTTGGGTGAAGAGCCTAGGACTTAGGGTGGAACTGAAAAAGGAGACAAAAAGGGGAGGAAAGCAGGCATGGATGCCACCCTCAGTGAATCAGATGGGGGAGATAACACACATTCCAATATCCCGAGAACATCCCAGACTGCCTACATAAGAATGTACAAGATGTGGGAATTCAAGTGACTATGAGGGATGGCATTAGGTATAAGTAGTCTGGAAGAACAGAGGAAATGGGCCCAATCTCTGGCCCCACCTTTGTCTGGCCCTGTCAGCCTTTAGGAATCCTGAAAGAATGAGGGAAGGGAGGCTAGGGAATGCATATCTCCCTTTTCCCTCACCTTTCCTCCCCTCTCCCAGTCCAGAATGGCAACTCACATTCTAGCTTATCTTCTGGCCGGCCACCCTCCAGAAGGGAAAAGTAACAGGAGACATCACTGAGACATACCACATTTGCTACAAAAAAGTACAGCAGAACTGAGGTCAGGGCCCCTCCACTTTGGTTCTCTTCTCCTTTGTTTATTACAACTTTCCCCCTTGAACTTTCCTCCAGCTAACTCCTAGTCCAGCCTTACTACCCTCCACCGCTCTCTCCTGACCCACTCAACACGTGACTCAATTCAACCTCATCCTCAAACACACTAATTTTACTTTTCTTCCACAGGCCCAGCCCAGTCCTACCATGAAACATACCTTTCCTTACATTCTCTTTTAAGCAGTGATCAGTGTGGAAGGAATGAAACAGTGCCAGGCTTAGGTGATGGGGAACATTATCCACTTCCAAATAGATTTTCAGGAATTGCTCAAATCCCTCATAGCCAATGGCCTGTGATGGAAGTGAGCATTACTCTGGGAGTCTGCAGGGTAGGAGTTGGGGATTGAAGAACTAGGAATAGTGGGCCCAGATACAGTAAGTGCAAAGCTGAGAAGCATTTGAAACAGTAATATGCTTCTTGGCAAGCCAAATCCAAAGGATCTCTTATTATTTTGTCTTAAAGCAAAAGCTGCAATGACAATGGACAATGGGGCATTTAGAGGCGAGCTGACAAGAATAATCCCTGAAGTGGGGATTCCAATGGAGTGGAAAAAAAAAAAAATGTTGATTAAGGAGCAGAATTTCCAACTGCCACTCACATCTCCTTGGAGATATTTGGCCATCTTCTCGTTCTCGAAGAGTTTTAGGACATCACTGACCTTTTGGTTGGAGTCTAGGTGTGAAGAGAGTAAGAAAAGAATATTAGTCCATCTTGGCATCTTGGCTCTTCTGGCCTTCTGCCGGAGTCCCACTCAGACATCCAATGGGGAAAAAAAAAAAGATTTGAATGAGATGAAGGAAGAATTCCAAGGAGAAACACAGAAATACAAAGGGAAAAACATGTCAGATCTTCTAACATGGTACCACTCTTTTCTCTTCTGGGGCTTGCAGAAAGCAGTCAAAGTATACAGAAGGTAGGTAGAGAGCTGAGACCCCAGGCATCTCCCTATCTGTTTTTCTCCCTTACACAGTCATGGGTCCATCTGACAGACTGGCTTAAAGCCACTGGGGAAACTGGGGCTTGATGGGGAAAATATAATAGGAAGAAAGAGGGATTCTTTGGGTAGTCTCCAGAACTGAAGAGCTGGGAGGAAGGCTCACATTCCATGTATTTTTGCAGCTGGGCAAAGTCTTCAGGGCTTAATAGTCCCCTTTCCTTGGCCATCTTTCTGTTTTTCTGAATGATGGCCAGAAAGATAGCTTCGTAGTAGTACTTCTTGCGGTTTGTCCTCTTCAAAGGGTAGGCCTGAAGGAAGATGACAAGAGCTACATGGAGAAGAGCCAGCTGTCTGGATTTCTTTGCTTCTGTCTGATCCATTCAGTCTTTACTCCCACTGTGATTTCTGTTCTTTCCTTCTCTGTGTCCCTCCCTAAACCTCCCCCTCTCTATTTTCCCTTACAGAGCCTGTCTTCTATCTCTGGTTCTCTGACTCATTTCTTAACTTTCTCTCCTTCATTTCTGGATCTTTCTCCCACTCTGACTTCTCCCCAAATCCATCTTGATTCACCTGACCCTCATCACCTCCCCACCTTCCACCCCTCCTTTCCAAGTCTATATATGTTTATATGAATATATCTCTGGCCTGTTTCTGCGTCTCACGCCACCCCCAAGTCTCTGTAGTCTCTTCATAGCCCGACTTCTCTTCCATCTCAGGTCTGCAGTCCCCACGAGCCCTCCGGGTGGTTCTTACTAAGCTAGCACGCCTCCCAGGCCAGGACCCCATCTTGCTCCGCCTCTACCCGGGGTCCCCAGGGCGCTCAGCTACCCACTTCCACGAGCCACCCACGCCCCGCAACGACCTCTAGCGCTTCTGACGCGCGACACAGAACCAGCGCAGGCTGTGGCTGGGTCCCTAGCTCTGGCCCCGCCTCGCTATGGAGCTCCACTGGGAAAGGGTGGGAACCCAGGCGCGCGGGGCTGGGAGGAGGTAGTGGTAGAATGCTCTGTGCACCAGTCTCATATCCCAGGCGCCGCACCATGGAGCTGCGTGCTGGAGTCTTGGATGCCAGGGTCTTCCTTCCACCCTCCTAGGTTTAAGGAACCTAGGAAGAACCCTAGGTTTAGGGAACCCCAACTTTCTGCTATTGGACCCAGGAAACAAGGAGGAGCTCTCACGTGGATATTGCTGATTCTCACATCCCATCCCCCCAAACAGGGACCAAGTTGCAGAAGGCAACTTGCCTTGTTGGTTCAAWAACAGCAATAACAATAATTACATGTTACAGCTGAACAGTGCACGCCTGTAATCCCAGAGACCTGGGGGTGGGGGCGGTTTAAGGCTGGAGGATGGCTGAAGCAGGAGGGTCAGGAGTTCAAAGTCAGCCTCAGCAATTTAGCGAGGCCCTAAGCAACTTATCGAGATGCTATCTCAAAAAAAAAAAAAAAAAAAAAAAATCTGGGGATATGGCTCAGTTGGTAAGCGCCCCAGGGTTCAAGCCCCAGTACCAAGAAGAAAACAAAAAATACATAATTACATGTTACAATAGTAAAGGGTGCAGCATGATTTTAGAGTCAAACAGAACTAAAAGTCAGTTCTATTTGGTTCCAATTCTTAGCTCTGATAGTTCTGTGTGTCTTGGGCAAGTTAAATCTGTAAAGTGGGGAGAATGATACCTAGCTTTCACAATTATATTAAATAATATAATATATGAAAAAATGCCTAGTATAATGCCTTGCATACAGGAAGCCTATTAAAATGGTAGTTATTATATTAAAAGTTAAGTTTTTATTATTTATTTTGGATATTGGGGATTGGACCTCAAGGCACTTTACCTCTGAGCCATGTCTCCAGCCCTTTTTACTTTTTATTTTGAGACAGGTTCTCACTAAGTTGCTTAAGACCTCACTTAAGTTGCTGAGGCTGATCTCAAACTTGCAATCCTCCTGTCTCATCCTCCAGAGTCACTGGGATTATAGTTGTGCAGCACTGCATCCTCCTCCCCACACCTGGCAAAGCCAACTTCTTGCCTCAACTGAATATCAGCTCCTCCAAGAGAGCTTCCTTGACTGTTCCATCTTAAAATGGTATTTCTTCTTTGTTTCCTTCATAGAATTTATCACAAGTAGAAATTATCTTCCCTATTTATTTGTTTCTTTGTGCGTGTGTCCCAGGCAGTGGGGGAAGGGGGGTTACTGGGATTAAATCCAGGATAATTCTGCTTCTGAGTTACATCTACAACCCTATTTTTATTTTATTTTATTTTTTGTGGTGATGAGGATTGTGGTGCATGCTAGGCAAGAACCCCACCACTAAGCCACATCCCCAGTCCTTATTTTTATTTTATTTTGAGACAGGGCTTCACTAAATTGCCCAGGCTGGCCTCAAACTTGTGATCCTCCTACCTTGGCATCCAAAGTAACTGGAAATTTGCTTTTTATTTACTGTTCTCTTCTATCAAATGTGAGTTCCATGGCTGAGTCTGGAGCTCAGTGGTAGAGTGCTTGTCTAGCATGTGTTAAGCACTGGGTTCGATCCTTAGCATCACATACAAATAAATGTAATAAAATAATTATTTTAAAAAATGTGAGTTCCATAAGGGCAGGAACTTGTCTGTCTTGTTTGCCAATATAGTCCAAGTATCTAAAAGAACGCCCAGCATATAGTGAGTGCTCAATATAGGTTATATGAATGATTGTATAAAGCAGGGGAGTCTTATTTTGGAACTGTTAATCAGTATGATTAAATGGATAGCAGAGTGTCTACTTAACAGTAAGGAAAGGATGAGATAATTTGGAACACATACAATAGGTGGTAAATCAATAGTTGGTAAAAGAGTAAATGATTCTATAAAGCATTTATTGAGTTACTTCATCAAACATTTTGACCTCCATTTACTCCTTTGGGGCTTATGAGGTCAGGCAAAGCAGGGAGGCCTTTAGGGCCTACAATAGTTCAGCCCCCTTCCTTTCTGATGGCGCAAGAACCTTCTCTGCAACTTCTGCCCTTGGGACATCTCTGCTGTCCACCTCTATGCAGTACAACATTCCTGTTCCAGGGCTTTCGGGGAACACTTGGAAGAGGGTCCTGGGACACTGACATCCTGGAGAAAAGACTACCCATTTGGCCTTTACCAATTACTATAATTCAACTTCTGCTGCCAACAGATCTAATGAATATATAACAGTCTTAGTATCAATAGGGCCTGCATTGCTTAATTAGCCCTTCTGATTAACCCCTTGGGGATTCTTACATTACTCCAAAGTTCTGGAAAAATAGAAAGAATCTGAGGGAGAAAATGATAGTGCAAGGGTAAATAAAAGAGAGGGTAAGACCCTTTTCCTTGTCTCTTTTTCACAATGACTCAACTTGTTTTTGCCTCTTCCTAGCTCTCCAGGCCTTAAACCTGGAGAAGTAGTATGTAGTAATTACTATATATTAGTAACCACTAGTTACTAGTTAACTAAGAAAATGGACTTTGGGACAGGTTTGTGGTATAAACCTGTAATCCCAGCACTTTGGGAAACCAAGGCAGAAGAATCCCAAGTTTGAGGCCAGCCTGGGCAACTTAGTGAAACCTGTCTCAAAAATTTAAAAAGGGCTGGGAATGTAGCTCAGTGGTAGAGCACTTGCCTAACATAGCAAGGGTCTGAATTCAATCCCTCCTACCACAAAGGGGGCAGGGATGGACTTTCAAATTAGGCATAGGTTAAAATTCTATCTTGTGGATGAGTCATTTCATTTCCTTGAATCTCAGTGTTGTATATGTATGCATAAGTGCCTCATGAATGCTGAGTAAGCATACTGCCACTGAGCTATGCCTCCAGCCCAACCTCAGTTTTCATCAGTAAAATGGGTACCTAGAGAAATCTGTCACAGAGTGGAGATTAAATAAGATTGTACAAGCAATGTATATAACAAACTGTGTGTCACAAAGAATTCAATAAACATTAGCTATTATTCTACCTAGAGAAGGATATGTGGCATAATGAAAAATTATGCCACTGAACCAGAAAGGCACAAGTTCTAGGGACTTCAAGCAGCAGTGAAGCTCGGGTGTATACCTTCCACCCCTTTTTATATATCAGGTACAGACATATAGTAATGTCAGAATCCTATAGTTTGTTCTGGAATTTTTAGAAACTAGACTGTTAAGAGTCCAAGGACGGGGTTGGGGCTCAAGCGGTAGCGCGCTCGCCTGGCATGCGTGCGGCCTGGGTTCGATCCTCAGCACCACATACAAACAAAGATGTTGTGTCCACCGAAAAACTAAAAAATAAATATTAAAAAAAAAAGTCTGGCAAAAAAAAAAAAAAAAAGAGTCCAAGGACATCCCTGGGTTGAGCTCTTGGACATAAGGACTCCTGGATCTGTTCAATCTTCTTTTTGACTTCTTTTGTTGAAAGTTTGGATGCCTCTGGGGGTGAAGGACAGCAAGCTGCAGGATCCTGGGCCCTTAAAGATCTGGAACAAGTTCAATTTTGTCCTCTAGCTCCATCCCAACCCTGAGGCTATAACCTGGGCTAGTCCAGGCGAATGCCAGGGCTAGAAGGGTGGGGTCTGCTGCCTGCCTGCCAGCTATTTGTGACTCACTCTACCCTTCTCTCTTCTGGTTTCCCTACCCACCTCTTCCAACTTGGAGCAAAAGGAATATGTTGATTTAAAGGTGAAGAATGCTACAACATCCTCAGCTGGGAGTTGCCAATTCTCATATTTTACAAAGGAGGAAACTGAACAACAGGGCTCAGTGGCACATGCCTTTATATCCAGGTTATCAGGAGGCTGGCCAGGAGGATCCAGAATTCAAGCCCAACCTGGGCAACATACTGAAACACCCTCCACCCCATCTCCAACAAACAAACAATCAAACAAAGAGAATGGAGGAAAGTAAGACTTAGAGAAAATGACTGTCAGAGTCTTAGACTATAGATGTGCTGTCCTTACTCCATCCCACTAAATCTTAGTATCTCTCATTCCCTAGATCTAATTTTAAACATCAAACACTAAAATTGGTGTTAACCAAGAGATAAATATTATTGCTAAAGCCAGTGCTAACATTTAAAATTTCACATTCCAGGTCAGAAGCTGATCATTACTCAAGAATTAGCTATGTCCCCAGGACATTCAGGCTGTCCCAGCAAGAATCCCCAAGGGGCAGGCACTCCTAGTTTGAGGGCTCAGGCCTAATTACCTGGGCCTCTGAATCCCTTAACTCTATCAGGGACTGTATCCTCTTCCTCTCCCAAGACTGATAAAAGGTCTATTATTCCCCGTCCATTCCTGCTTCTGTAAGTCAGTGGTCCCCGAGAGAGAATTATTTGGCCTGAAGCCTCAAAATTCATTAAACCTCTACAAACATCGCGGACGATAGTGTTGTCTGGTTAAGGGGGTGGTACATGTGAAGGGTATCATTGCGTAGTACTGGAGGAAGTTACGATATTGGCATGGTTGTGGGTAGGTGGCCATGTATGTTCTGAGGCTGAAGAGATGTCTAACACTATTTGCATTTCTTCCGCGAGAAGACTCATTTCTTTTACTTGAAGCTGAAAAGTGGGATTCAGAATCAGGGATTTTTAGAAACTAGCTGGTGACAGGTGTGGAAAGGATGAGGATAGGAAGTTGGGGACCAGGAGGACAAATAAGAACCCTTCTCCACCTGTGCGGCACTGTGGAGATTCCAAAAGGGACTTCCTTGGGAGTTGGGTTCCCAAGAAGCAGAGCTTCATCATCCTTCCGAGTGACCAGGAAGGATGGAAGAAAATGTCTGTGGAGAGGCTGCCTACGCGGTTCTGGCCCAACCCTCCCCCTGCCCGCGGCGTCCCAGCGCAAACCCTTCTAGCCACCCACTCCAGCTGTTACGCTTCCTCCTTCGCTGCCTCGCAGCCCCAACCCAGCCCGCGAGGCGACCCCTTTGGAGGCCGGCCTCCTACTCCGGTGGGAGAGCGTGGAAGGGCGGGGTCTCTACCTTGCCCGAGGAGGGCGAGCGGTCGGAGCTGAAGCGCTGGCGCTGGCGCTGGCGCTGGAGGAGCTGGAGCTGGAGCTGGGCTGGAGGGGACGGGCCAGGCAGACGCAGCGGCCTCGGGGCGGCCCCAACTCCTGACGACACAGCTGCCCGCCCCCCACCCAGCCTGCTCATCTGCCGCTCCCGCGCCCCCAATACCGGGAACTTCGAGACCAGAGAGGCCTGTTTCCAGATTTCCAGTTCAACATAAACTGCTCCCTGTCCCCCGAATGTCTCCAGGGCTCTGTTCTGTACCATTTTCTCATTTTCTGCGCTCCATCTAGTCTTCTAGTGCCTGGGGTAGCTCTGCTTCTATATCCCCTTCTTTCTAATCACGGCCTCTCCCCTCATCCCAAATCTGGGAAGTTAAGAGCAGAGGCAGGCAGATGAGAAGAACAGCTTCACAGCTGTCCAACCACCCATCAGTTCCCCTATCCTAATTGCTGCCACCCTGGGCTTCCCTGTTCAACTCCTTTCCATCCACCATGACTTCTCACCCAGGAGATCCCACACTCCACTTCCTGAGATCCAGTCGCCTCCCTTCTTGCATGGCTTGCTTGACACTTCTTGAGACAATCTGTCAGCCTTTCAGACTTATTCCTCCAGTCTATGGACACCTCCATGCAAAACTCATATCCTCTCCCTAATTCTAGAGTGCAAAGAGCTCTCTGGTCTGTGTGCACAATTCCTCTATGCCCTAACCCTCCCATTTTACCTACTGACCTCAGCAAGTGATGCAGAAAGCCCTAGTCAAAAGTAGGGGCTAAAAGGAGATCCTTTCAGTTTCTCTTGCCTGGAATCTGTTCAGGAGCTGTCAAGGCTCTTGGGGCAGCATGGATGGTCCTCAGGCTGGTAGAGCAAGGGAGAGAGACACAGCCTAGGGACTTACTGTTAAGACCTGGGGACCCAGGCATCCTGCTCCCTAGCCCCGCCCCAACCCCTAACTCCCTCCTACCCTTCCTTTGAAGTAGGGCAGAATGACAAAGCCTTGAGTTCCTGGAATAGTCCCTCTTACCTTTGAGGTGGAAGGAGGGGGAGGAGAGACCTCTGACTGGGAGTGTGTATGTGTATGTGTGTGTACACACATATATCACATACACAAAATATATATTTTTGCTTGGTAGGGGTCACAGAGGAAAAGAAATGAATGAATGCATGAGGCCCTCTAGTGGAAACAGAGGGAGGCAAATAATTCCCAATTGTCTCAAGACAAGCTAGTTGAAGAAACTGCTCCACTTTTTCCAGAAATATGGCTGCTGAGTAGTAAGGTTTGAGAACATTATTATATCTAAACTGGAGATCTCCAGCAGAGATTGGAGGAGGGGCTGTCTCCCCAACTGTGTCCTCTCCAGGTTTTATCCTCAGTCTTTTTTTTTTTTTTTTTTTGGTACCAGAGATTGAGGAGCACTTAACCACTGAGCCATATCCCCAGCCTTTTTTGAGACAGAGCTTCACTAAGTTGCTGAGGCTGGCCTCAAACTTGCTATCCTCCTGCCTCAGCCTCTAGAATCACTGAGATTACAGGCATGTGCTCATCCTTCACTTGGAAAAGTATTTGCTTCATTGTTAGCAAAGGTTCTTTTTTTAAAATTTTTTTTTTAGTTGTTGATAGACTTTTATTTTATCTATTTATATGCGGTTTGAGAATTGAACCCAGTACCTCACACATGCCAAGCAAGTGTGCTACCACTGAGCCACAGCCAGAGCCCCAGCAAAGCTTCATTTTTGTGACCTCCTTAGTCATGGCCAACAAATACTTTTGAAGGCCAACTATATATCAGGTTCTGTACTTAGTTCTGCAGGATAGGCAAAAACAGCTCAGTTTAGGGACTGTAGAAAAGAGTGTAAATATTATAAAGCTTCTCTGCTCTGAGTATACAAGTAAGAATAGGTCCATAACCCCTCTTCCGGTCTTTACATAAAGTTAAAGACACGCCTTTGAAGACTTTTTTTTTTTTTTTTTTAACTTCAATGGGTGTTATTTGTTTAGTAAGGAATGAAATGAAATCAATCTTACTCTAGCCTTCTTTGTATCATGTTTGGATCTGTGCTCCATCATACTCCAAGTTAGTAATAGAAGGGGGGAAGAAAGGCAAAGAAACATCTAAAGAGGAGGCATCTAATGCCTACAGTTCCAGGTGCTCATTTCTGTAGTCAACCACATCATAAAAGTCAGAAAGAAAGAAACCGCAATGAACAAAGGGAAAGGAAAAAACAACAGCCTGTTCTCCCCAGCCTCTTTTTACCCCCTTCCTCCTCAGGGTGGGGGGTCACATCCGGGGCCCAGGGCTGGGTACTAGGCTGGTCTACTAAGCAGTCAGTTGAGTTTCACTTCCTGTCACCCAGAACTGGGGCAGGAGGTTTTGGGGCACAGTGGGGGATTAGGGTTAGGTAATGAGTAGTGCCCACTTTAGGATTCCCCTTGCAGAACAGGCCCATCAGAAGCCACAAAGACCATTCCTTAGATACTGATGTAGTCCACTAATTTTTAAAGGCTTCCTATCATACTCACCTCTTATTAGTTACAAGGCTAAGGACAGGATGATGGATGGGGCAGGGCTGAAGCACAACAGAGTCTGTCTTGGACTCTTGCTTTAGCCTCCCTAGTAGCTGGGACTAAGTGTGTGTTGCCCTTCCCATCTGTATGTAAATAGGTTTATTTTTTTGTTCTGAGGATTGAACCCAGGGCATTTAACCACTTAGCCACATCCCCAGCACCAACTCCCCCTTTTAAATTTTATTTATTTATTTATTTATTTATCTATTTATTATTTATTTATTTATTTTTAGGGATAGGTGGACACGATGTCTTTATTTTACTTTATGTGGTGCTGAGGATCGAACCCAGTGCCTCACACATGCTAGGCGTGCATTCTACCTCTGAGCCGCAATCCCAGCCCACCCAGCCCCCTTTTTATAAAATATTTTATTTAGAGATGGGGTCTCCGAGTTGCTTAGGGCCTTGCTAAGTTGCTGAGGCTGTTTTTGAACTTGTGATCCTCCTGCCTCAGACTTGCCACTGGGATTACAGGCATGCACCACCACACGCATGGTTTATAGTTCTTTTTTTTTTTTTTTTTAACTATTAAAAAGTTTATTTAACACAAAGTTTAATATGAAAATGTACATGACCTGATTTTTTAGGTCATAGTTAGTCCTTTTGGAGAGGGGTGACGGATTTCTCTGCTGAATAGTCATTATTTGTTCCTGTTCCAAAACTTCTAACATGATGATACTATTTCCTTGTATTACCATCATTCCACTATTGTTCTGTTGCCCATTAGTTGCGATATCCACACATTCATCTATCACAAGATTCTTAAAGGGGTCAGATTCCCCATAATATTCCTTGGACATGTCTGGCACCATTTAATTTCAATTATAACTTCTTGTCCATAAATTTTTTCAGCCCGAGAGGGTGAGCTTGGTTTATGTTGTGTACTGAGCAGGCTCAGAGATGCTTTTTTTTTTTTTTAATAGTTGTAGGTGGACACAATACCTTTATTTATTTATTTATTTATTTATTTTTATGTGGTGCTGAGGAATGAACCCAGTGCCTCTCACGTGCTAGGCAAGTGCTCTAACACTGAGCCACAACTCCAGCCCAAAGATGTAAATAGTTTTTAAATAAATCTTTTTGAGACCTGGTGAGTTGGGTCCCACGTAGAAGTCAAGGAGATGGAGAACGGAAAGAAAGCACAGGTGTGGCCCTGAAAAAACTTCTGAGGTTTAATTTGCTTGACTAAGGTCCTAGTCAGCCAATTGCTGTTTTTATTTATTTATTTATTTATTTWTTTTAACTAAGGCATGCTGCCTAGTGTTAGAGGTGGTCACTAATATTCACAGAGATACTGTGGGCATTAAAATAAGGGTTACAGAGAAAGGTAAAGGGGTTGCTGAAGAAAAATAAATAAGGGGATGGAGGAGCACAGTGTCCGGGATACCTGAGGAGAGGAAGCTGCGACTCGCCCCTCCCAGGCCGAAAGAGAAACTAGTTTAACAGGATTTAGCCCTGAGGAATTACAGCTACAGAGGAGTGGGGGAGGGAGAACTTTGGGGCTCTTTGAAGAACAATTGAGGCTGGAGGCAGGGCAGACCTGCCAAGGGAGTGACCGTGTGGGCCGCTGGGATTATGGGCTAGCTATCCCGCTTTAGATCCTCAGCTCCCAGAGACTTGCACGAGGTTGAACAGAATACTAACTGGGTCCGCCCAGATGCCTTCACTCTGCCTTGACCCTAGGGCTCACCCGGAGGAGACTCCTCCGGTAGGCGGCCAGGGCAGGAAGTCACTTCGCCACCGAGTGCCCAGGCTGCCCAGTGCTGCCCGCCCGCCCCAACTCGGCCATGAAAGCCAGCAGCAACCCTGAGGGTGTGGGGACAGGTGACCAAGCCGCAGCGGCCACCGACTTGCAGGCCTCTTTTTTAGGTCTCGATCTAGAGTTAAGCTGGGCAGCGAGGGCAAACGGCATGCCAGTTCGACCTCCCCACCTTCTAAGGGTTAGTTGGGGTCTTCCACATGCCTCCAGCAATATTCGTGCACTCTAGTACGTTGCTGGAGTTTGCCGGCCCCGTGTCACCAAGTCTCCTTGGTACCTGGGTCAGGTCAGAGCATGAATAGTCTTCCTTTACTTCTGTATCAGCCCCCTCTTTCGGGTGCAATTGGGCCTTGCGCCCCTTTCCCCTCGCATGTCCTAGATGTACAGTTCTGGGATGAGAGAAATTGTGTCGGAACCTCTCCCGCTCCCAGCTGATTTACACGCACCAGGCGCTTAAGGGTGATATGGGTGGCAACAAGAATCCAAGGCTTTATTTTATCAACTATCTCAGCTTTTAGTCCCCTCTTCCTTTCCCTCGCCCACGAAATGGTGCACTCTTCCTTTAAGACTAAAATGGTGGCTTGCTACGAACAGGACTCCACTTCCGGTAGGGAGGGGGCGGGACCCCAGTCCGCGCACGCCGGAAGTGGTTTGCGTTTTCAAGATGGCGACTCCCTATGTAACTGACGAGACCGGCGGTGAGTGCG